AGAAATAAGGATTGATTTCTCCTCAGATGGGGACATTAAGATAAAGTACATATCTATATTTTACGCAGCTGGATTCGGGTGCTCGCGTTCTGGCATTGTTTTGTTTCCTTTACTCCCTGGTTTCTATCTCGCCCCTCTGCCAGCGTAAGGTCAGTGCAATCATCCGGACTTTTCTAACAGTATCGAAGCAACAGATTTTCTCTTCCAAAAGTCCATAATGGGTTTAGGCTAGGCAATCAATCAAAGTTATAGTTATGCCTGCATACAGTCTGGAGTACGAACTCGTATACTTTGTTGGGTTTTCTTATAAGAGAAGGTGTTGAGCGAGGCTCGTGAGGTTGGAATTGGCAAAAGATTATCGACAGCTCCAGCCTCGGCCACTTTGTCCCTGTTGAGATTCTTGGCCGTTAAACACTTTCTCTGTGTCAGAACTGCCAGGTACATTTATTGCATTTTCTGCGTCTCGGGCTTTTCGTCCATCTTTCTGTGTTTAAGAATTTGGAACTCGTGTCGAACAGGTGGATGGCTCGTATTAAAGTTCCTGCTTGGCTTTAGTGACATTCGGTCAAGGAGCATGTAGTTGAAGCGATTGACATATTAACTGGAGTCAATCTGGCAAGGAACTTCCAATTACCGTGCAGTACGGAGACCCCGCGCGCCAGCCGAGACTTAAGCAAGGGCCTTTGCAATTTTGTTTTGTCGGTCATGCCTTGGCCCTTGTGCTGCCCCTTGTTTTGGAACTTGAACACGAGCTAAATGGGCCCGTTTAGATGGCAAGGGGGAGAGAGGGTCTTCTCAATACGAACCCGCCAAGCAAACAAAAAGACTACCGGCGGCAACTAACCATTTAGTCTATGATGCCGGCGCTAGTGAATGTCACTACGAAATGTACTCTGAAAAGCCGATGTTAAAGGGAAGCGTTATAAAGAGATGGCTTCTTCTACGATAAATAGCCATGTTCACTCTGCTGTATCTAACTCACTCAACTAATAACTTCTCTGTTTCCAAATATAGAGCTTCTCGGGCTCGAACTGGTCTTCATTTCTTATCAAAATGCTCCCTCGCTCATTCCTCGCCATCTGCGCCCTTGCGGCTGGGGCTGCCGCGAGCGCGTTACCTCGTGCCAACGGTGCCTGTACCAACGTGGCCGTTCGCAAGGAATGGCGAGAACTCACCAGCGCCGAGAAGACTGAGTACCTCCGTGCCGCTGTGTGTCTACGTGGACTGCCCAAGGCGAAGTACGCCGCCATCGATGCCGTCACGACACGCCTAGACGACTTGGTTTACACCCACTTCGCTCTCAACACAGAAATTCACTTTGTGGCCAACTTCCTTCCGTGGCATCGCTGGTATGTGCAGCTGCACGAGAATCTGTTGCGCAGCGAATGTGGTTTCACCGGTACCCAACCCTACTGGGACTGGAGCATCGACGCGGATGCCAAGGACATGCCCAACTCTCCCCTTTTCGATCCAGCAACTGGCTTTGGAGGTGATGGCAAACGTACTGGCAGCACTGAGCCAGGCTTCGAGCGCTGCGTCGTCGATGGTCCCTTTGCTAACACGAACTTGACGTTGGCCATGGGATGGCCCAACATGAACGATGCCGGCAACCGTCTGCACTGCTTCACGCGCGAGTTCAATGGCGGCATGGGCAAGGACGAGAACGGCGACTCCATCATTGGCGACATGCAGGTCGGGGCGTACAGCTCTTCGGTCATGAAAACCATCTATGGTTTTGACAATTTCCGCGACATGTCTAGCATGCTTGAGGGATTGCCACACGCGCAAAGTTCGTCTCTCTTCTCTTTGACCTACGTTTCTTTGGAGTGATCTAACGCATGGTATCTTCTATAGTTCACAGCGTTATTTTCGGCGACATGGGACCGGCCACTTCGCCCAACGAGCCGCTCTTTTTCCTGCACCACGCCAATGTCGACCGTGCTTGGGCCAAGGTACGCCTCATCCTCCTCGTATTTGCCCGATAGAGTGGCGATTTCTGACTTTGTTATATTATAGTGGCAGGGCCGTAACGCAACCCGTCTGGCAGACTACACCGGCTTCAACAACGCAGACCGCACCATTGTGGCCTCAATCACTGATGCTATGCCTATCATGCAGCTTGGGGATGTTGAACCCATTGTCCAGGACTACATGGATATCCAAGCTATGTGCTATAGTTACTCATCTTAATTAAGGTCAAAAATTGAGCGAGTGGTGCTGTTTAGAATTAGTCCTTTCGTCCCAACGACTAAATAGAACACAAATGAATAATTATTCGATTTAAAGTAATTGCTTTTAGTACCTGCTATCCTCTTAAACCACCCTCTTCTTCTTCATTACTTAGTTAGGGAAATCTGGTGATTCGATGGCATTATCTTATAAAAAGGCGTGTTTCCGCCAACTACCACCCGAATTCTATTCCACCGCCATTATCATATTGGTGAGAATCCTCTATGGAAACGGCGAATTTGTCCTCCATCTCTAGCAACTCGGCAAAATTTGAAGTCTGTTTGTTTGGGAATTCAGGTGGCTGTTCCTGCCCGTCCGTGGTATTGGCAGACTGTGTTGGTGCATGGGCCGTGAAGTCCTCCGGGATGCGAAGTAAGCCTTTCTTGGATATGTTATCACGAACCCAGGTCCTATGTCGGGCTATCGCTGCCGGAGAAACGATGCCCCTTTTCTTTGCAGGAGGGACAATCAGGGTGTTCGGGTCGGCAAGCCGGAGGGTGTCGTTGTATGCGCGAGTGATGGCTAACCACTCCTCATCGTAAGACAGATGATATTTTCCAATTTCATCGCGAGAGAAATAAGCTTGTTCCTCTTCAGAGCGTTCAGGAAGTTCGAGCTCCAACAACTCCATGTACGTAGAAGGATGGTGTCCTGCCTTACTGAGAGCCAGAAACTCAGTAACGTTGTTCTGTTTGGTTTCGGAAGTGTTCTCGACAACGGATTTGGAAGCATTCTTTTTGAATAAAGGCAAAGCTGTGCGAATGCTTTCTGATACGGGAAGTAAGCGAACAGTATCCTCGAAGGTAGATTCAATGTGGTTGATGGTGGCGGAAAATTTGACATGCATGTGCCCCGAGAACCAATAGGATGGCTGTAAATATCCTAAGAGTCGACTGGCAGGTTTGCTGCCCAGGTTGTCAATCTTGGCACTGGCGAGGAAATGGGGCTTTGCAGCATATAAACTCTCATATTCGCCGCATAGTTCAACCCAAGCAGGCCAGTCATGGGTGAGGCCAATGTCGACATGTCCAGTCACTCGAAGAAGCTTCTCGACATCATATTCACGGACGTGATAGACGGACTTGATACCGTCACGATCGTATGGCAGTCGTTCATGGTGAGGGCTGCGATAATCTGGCCGGCTGTAGATTCCCGAGAGGCCTGCAATACGCCAAGGGCCATACCGTATGACGCCTGCAGCACCCATATAGAAGATATTGGGGGCTAACCAGCCTCCATGATACAATTCAAAGAGATAGTTTGACGCTTCGTGGTTGCCACCAATGACAATTGTGAGAACAGGGGCTCGGGTCTGTTTGGAGTAGTATTTGTGGAAGTCCCCAAGCTGGCGGTATCTTCGCGGGACAGACATGCAATTGAGATCTGAGTCGTTTCTTACAGCCTATTTGTACTCTATGAGATTCAAGGAAATGAGACGTCAGTTATGGAATGATTGGGCCTGCCTGGAAGTCGCCGCAGATGATGAGAAGGTCAAGTTCCGAGAGGCTCCAGCCTCTGCTATGACAACTGGATTCGAGGTCGGCGTAGATGGTATCAAGTTGTCCATGGCCCTACCAGAAAGCGAGGCATTCATTAGTATGTAGTGCTGTATCATGCATCTTCATGGTCTTTAGCAGGTTTGACTTACACAACCAACCACGGCAATTCGTGGTTTGGGCGTTGGCCGGTTTGAAGACTCCATCTTGATTTTTATCTGAGGGAATAAAGTCAAACTCTCGTCGATGAAATGAATGGCTCGACCGAGGAATATAGAGACCTTTTGGCTGGGTGATGCCTAAATGCAGTAAGTCATCGGGCAGATCTGCGCCAATCATACACCACTGCTAATCCCAGCACTTGGTAGCGGGTATCCGCTCAGGGCAAATTGGAGTCATGGCCTGAGGCGATTAATAATGACTAGATGGTAACACTTTTGCAAGGCAAGCCCACCTTGAGATGACCTTTAGCATGCTACTTTTACAGGTAAGACGATAAATGAGAGAGATCTATGCAGCTTAAAAATAAAAGGTGGGGAACAACCGAAACACCAAGAAATCGATAACTTGATGCGATATGCATCACAACATATTGAACTAATAGTCTTTTTGCCCGGCTAAGAGGGCTTAAAGCCGGACATTAGATACTTCTTATTCCTTACTTCTATATTTTGTTTTCCATTTGGTAGAAAAATCATGTCTTCGTGAACGGGAGCTAGAGTTATACTGGCAATGGACGCAAGGGCCGACTGTGAACCGAGGGTTAATCTCCATTGTTGTTTAACTTTATACCCGAACTCTTTCGTGAAACGAGGGTTAGTAGCTAGAATGATTTATGTCGGGAGCTTTGCAGTGAGCGAGATAACGATGAATTGGCCATTTTCCCAATACGGCGTGGGGAAATGGACAAGCTGCACTTTTACTCGCGCTATTTTTCAGCTTGTGCTAGAAAGTAACCCATATGGGTATTGATACCTCTTACTGGATATGAACAGAGCTGAGTTTTGATTAATGGGGCATGTAAGACTTCGTGGTGGCATACTGCAGTCATCTTAGTTTCGATTGGCCTGTTACCACGAATGTGCATAATAGGGTAGCAAATAACTGGGAATTTAGAACAGAGCCCAAGGCTACCTGAGGCTGCCTTGGGCGCACATATGTCTCAAAGCAGCCAACAAATAGTACTGAAGTCCCCGCAAAGTCATTTCTATGTCAGCTTTATCTGCCCATGCACTCCTACAACATTCAAGTATCTCTCTCTCCTGGCGATAGAGGATGGAGCTTGAGCTAGAGAATATGGCCCCTGAGCCCGCAACCGACAGAACCAGCATTGACAGAGCAAACGCGCTTCTAGCACAGACTGATACCAATGAAGTCCAGAGGTTAAAAGCTGAAGCGACCAGCATTCTGGGAGAGAGACACGCTAGTCTGGTTGGCATGAATGCAATCGACATTTTAAGGGTTATCGGAAATCTAACGACACGAATCCCCGCGGCGCAACAAGAAGTCACCGAGCTCTGTATATCCATTGCTTACCCACTACTCATTCTACAATGCCGCTCACTCGCAAAGATGTTGACATCTTTATCAACCTTCGATGACCAAGGCAGCGTTCCGGATATTTCCTGGTACTCGCAACAGCAGACAACATTGGGCAGGCTAAGCCGAGACTTCCATTGGTCCTACACCTGGAAAGCAGCATGGATTGATGTTTTTAATCGTTGGAAAATAAAAGTCGAGGACTCGTCTTGGCTTAGCGCCAGGATCGATGGCATGCGCAGCCAAATAGCCGAGATATCGCCAATCTTCATTTCCATCAAAGCAGCTTTCAGTCAGATTACCATTGTGACTGGGATATCTTTTGATGATGAAGTAAATAATATTGAAAACACATTCAAAATGTTCGAGACGTATTTGGACCAGTGCGCAGCGAAAGTCGACGAGCTAAGTATCGAAGGTGAGCTGTCTCCGGAACATCGACCCATTTATGCTGTTGTTGACTTGAAATAGAGCGATCGAAACATCTGTCACCGTTGTCAAATCCTCCTCGGGCCCAATCATGGACGAGTGGTGCCAATGTTTCATCTAGCGGAATTGCACAGAGGACATCGTTTGGAAAGCGTGCTACTATTATTAGCAACCAACCAGCGGTCCAAACCATGGACAAGTTTCAAACGCGATGGGCCCAGGCGACAAGTCTCTTTGGACCTCTCTTTCAACTTGCTAAATCACCCGTCCTCATTATCCTGGCCGTGGCCATGCCATTCACGATATACTCCACCTATCTCTGCGAGACTCCAGACGACCTGCCCGTGGTAGACAGCAATTTCTGGTCGACGTTAAGCCAGTGCATTGCCGGATTCGCAGGGCTCTACGTAGTTATTAGGCCGATGCTCAGCACTAGTCAGAAGGATAAGATCCGGACGGAATTCCCGAAGGTCTTCTATACGATGCTAGTATTGTCACTGACAACCAGCATCGCGAGTGTCTTGGCTTACATTTGGAGCCCACCGGCTAGCATTCCACTGGCTTATGTATCCGGATTGGCGCTTAATCTTGCAACATTGCTGATTATCAAAGACTCGGGTAATCAAATAAAGGAGACTAATAGAATGAATGAACATCTAGAAGGCGAAGTAGACGACTTAAAAGGTGAAGTCGTCGGCTTAGAGACAGAGCTTGCTGGATATCGGACGAGGAGATAATATGAGGTATGAAGAGGTAGCCCATTCGCTACAATAGGACGAGTATAGGATTAAACTTATGAAGCTAGATCGGACTAAAAAAAAGTACAGGTTGCCTTCTCGCCTGGAGAGTGAAGAAAATTTGAGGCCAGGAGACGATAGCAGACCTTAGGCATTTTGCTCACTTATTAGAAATGAAGTCTCATTGAATTCATTCCAACGGAGAAAAATCGCGTTGCAGTGCCGTCCAGATGGTTGTATTATGATTTGAATATTATGAGGCATTGTTTATGAATCAGGTCACTATATTTTGGCGGTGACATCTCTGATGAAACTTCCTAAGTGAGGATCTCATAAGCTCGAAGAGTTCATGGACCGGAGCCTAATTGAAGGACAAGGGAACCATGAGCCAATTTGCATCTACATGATCGCCGGCCTGGTATGAGTAAACACGTCGCCTAGTCGCACTGATTAGTTTGATTTTCTATATGTCATCAAGTCGCTCTGAAGTGGTCATACGCGTTTTCCTTCCCACCGTTTCCCATCCCAATACATGTGCCCCATTCAGCACTCTTGATTCTGCTGCAGTCGTCAGCATCTGATAATCTGTCTAGGTCGCACCATCTTGGCACTTACACCCAAGAGCCCACACGGTTGTTTGACCCTCGGCCAATGTACCAATAACATTGTTTCCCGAGAGCATTGCCAACGTGGACATCGAGACCGAGTGCGTTGGTTGGGAAGTACACTTTCTCTGCATTGGATGGGTCAGCAATCAATTTGACACAAAATTGTATAAATACTTGCGGTTGTCGCCTGTGCGGCTGATCGTCCAGAATCCTTCGGGAGTCATGTCATTGTTGACTCTTTCCAACTTGAAGGTCTGATTTGCAATCCCCATGCAGTACTCCCAGCAGTGTAGCCTAGTCCTATTCTCTATAATTTGGTGAGTTAGCAAGGCACTAGCATATAATTGGAGGTGTTTGGGATGCTCTCACGGTATCCAGAATCTAGACCTAGGGGGCAAAACGCGTTGACAATGTGGACTGTTGCGTTATGATACACTAATGGCAGGCAGTTATCTTGTCGAGCCATGTTGGGAACACGCCCGCTGAAGATCAGTTGATTTAGCCTTGTCATTTCTGCTGCTCGCTGTGCGTCCCTGCTTGACAGAGCTGCGATCTCCTCATCCTTCTGCCTTTTCATTGCATCAAGTAGTCCCATTGCTGCAGCGTTTTCTTGGGTGAGGCGCTCACTCTTGCTACGCAGATGGTCTCGCTCCCTCACGACTTCCTCCGTGTCCTCGGCCTGCTTTTGTAGCCTTTCAGCTGCCTCCTCTAGTTGCTTCTTCTGGAGACGAGCGGCTTCCTCCATACGTTTCTTCTGCAGTCGCGCATTTTCAAGGGCGGAGACATTGTTATCGTCATTCTTGAAGACGATGGGAGGTGTATTGGAGCTGAGATTGGTAACGTGTTGACATAGTAGAGCCATTGGAACTGATGAGATTGCGACAATTGACTGGGCAGCCTGTTCAAATCAATCAAAGAAGAAGAAAAATAAGCAGAATCCCGTATTTGATAGATTGAAAGGTCAATTCCAAATCTTCAAATATATTGAGGAGGTCGAGTATGCTGGAAGTATTCAGAGGTTGTGGGCTAAAGGAAGCAGGCGATCCTACCCATAGATCGTGAGGACGGTCTAGACCCTGGGCCTGAGAGGGCGTATGCACACCCTCGCTTAAGAGAAATTCGTTGGGGTGATATAGGGAGCTGAATTTGGCTAGTATAATCAATATGTAGGTTACCATCTTACCATGCAGTATGCATCATGCTGTGTGTAAGCCATCAGCGCTAGAGGTGAGCTGAACAACCATCCTCGCGTATTTAGATTGATCAATATCTCGCCAACTGTTTTCCTCGCTCACGGCCCATGAACATACGGCCCCCGCCTCGTAAATATCCCAGGCGTCTTTGTATGAATCTAAAGTGAGAAGCGGGGGGGCTTCAGGGGTGATATTCCACTGTGCACGTGTTAGCACATCAAGGGACGCTCATTTGACGTAGGAAAGTGGTCGCTTCACTCAAGTTCTAGTCCATCTTGGCATCAATTTCGAGGTTATGCGACTAGTATACGTGTTTGAACGACATGCAAGGCTAATTATGCTGAGACTCGTGACAAGGTATTTCGCAGTAGATTATCACAGATCATCCGGAAGCAGTCTTCAGGAGAAAAGAGCAAATTGACTATTACAAGATTTAGACATGCCATATTACAAAAAGCATGTCTTGTTCGAGTGAAATCACCTAATTGCAAAGTATATCTAGTAAATCATGCGCATCCCCAAATCAGTCCCAACCTACTAATCAGTCCGCCACTCTCCTCGCCGTAGAAGCCGCGTAGAGTCCAGTTTGCGCGGTTAAGTTTTGGTGCCGGCTCTACCAGCTTGGAGACAACTTCCAGTCTGTCCTCTTCAGTGTGGTCACCAAGGTACCGAATTGTAGACACATCCAGTGGCCACAAGGGTAGCTGGCCACTTTCATCGCCACAGACCAACTCAACAGTATCTATGAACGGCTCAGGTGTGGCTAGGGTCTTACCCGAGGTCAGCTTGGCCGCGATGATAGGGCCCCTCAACTGGCAGCTCCAAACTTCCCTCTCTTCAGTATAGGCACCGTGGATTAGCTGCTTCCCATCGCTATACTCAACCTTAAGGCCGCTAAGTCTACCTGCCGAGGCGCTAAAGGAAAGTTTGGAGATCTTTGAGGTCCCAACAATCGTGTCCAGTGCACTGAAGCTATTGCTTCCCGCCGGTGTAGATTGAGATCCAGTGCTGACGCAATCACCCAAGTAGAAGTGCTCGGCAGGGCTGGTTCCGGACAAAGCCTGCTTTGTCTTTTCCTGGAGCGACGGGCCCATTCCAAGGAAATTTCTGGCTGCGGGTGCCTGGACTGTAGCAGTAGCTGCCTTCAGTATATCCTTGCCCCAGACGATGCCCAAATCTTCAAAGCCATCGTCAAACGTGAAGCCGAAGAATCCACGGAACGACCATTGGCAGAGATCTGTGAGGGAGAAACTGTGAACTGTGCAACCAGCCTTAGTACCGCTTGTAAGGATGTTGCACTTTGATGTTGCTACAGCCATGCCCTGGACGGATGGCTTGTTCTCGTCGCCCTTGGAGACGTATACTTCGAGCTCGGTAATAACTTCATCGTATTCAAGCTGCAGCACATGCTGAGGATTTCCCTCCCTCTTTCCGTGAGCGATTTCTTTGCTTGTTGTGTAGACGACGGCGAGACCTTCGATTTTATCATTTCTCCATAGCCTCAGTTCACTGGGCCTGGCACCCGGCTCCAACTGTTCCAGATCATTGAAGAATGTAGCGCCAGTTGAAATGCTGTTCTTGTCTTTCAATAAGCTCTGCATTCGGTACTCATCTGCCCTGTAAGAGAGTTGTGATACGGAACTTCTGATACTGGGGTGCATATCAGGAGTGTCGTTGGTGGAATTAGCAATAAGGTTGCTATTTTCCTGAGTCTCTTGTCTCCTAGGCGTCTGTAATACTGTCAGTTATGTCTTTGAGGCAGATTAAATTGGGAGATTCTTACAATTAGAGCAGCTTCCAATTTCTTCTTCAGTTCATCGATATGGTCGCTCTTCTCTTTCGCCGCTTTCTGGGAGTCCTTAAGTTCCTGCTGTGTGCCCTGCCACTCCTCCACAGTAGGTAAACGAATATTATTCGTTGACTGACCCGTTAGTTTCATTTTTAAATCTTTTCTGTTCATAGGAAATAGTATGACATACTGGGACGAGCAATCTGAATACGCTCGGGCTCAGATACTGGCCAGTACGGGAAGGGTCACAGGCCACTTGGGGATCTCTTGTGACGGCATCCACCTGTGAAGTTATCAGTATCCATCGCTCACCACTTGCTGATCCAGGACTAACATACCTCTCGAACAATCTTGATCATCTCGAATCGGCAATCACTAGCCGCGACCTCCAACCCAAATACATCAGGATCGTAAGGTTGAACAGCATTTGCCGGCAGTGGCTTATCAATTGGCTTTGCTGGTTGTTGATTTCCTCCCGCCATGCGCACCAACGCATTCATTTCTTCGTTGGCTTTCCTCTCATCAATAGCAGTTTTATACGCTGCTTCTTTCTTAAGTTGGGTTTCGGCTATCATGGCAGCATACTTCTTCAGGCTAGGAGAAGCTTCTCTAATGTATAGCTGAATTTCTTGCAAATTCAGTTTCTGAATCACTAAAGCCAAATCAGCCAATGAGCTCTAGGTGTTCTCTTCAGCTCCGTAGTCGACGTACTAATCTGGATTTCTCCCCATATCATTTTGTAATCCTGTATTTCGTTAGTCAATAGCTTCAAGGAGTTGCAAGGTCAACAGACTCACAGTATATGCATCATACAGAGCTGCGGTGTAAACACCAGCATTTTCATAATCCAGGGGTGATCCTTTTCTGGTCTGTTCATGGAAACTTCTCAAAGAAGTATACTTGGTCAAGATAGCGCTATGACTCAACATGAGCAAGAGCGCACGCGTTGACGTTCGAGTTAAACACTTACCTCACTCTTTGTGGACCTGCACATATAAAGTTAGCGAGCTATATACCAAGTTGGAAGTCTTTTCTTCACTCACAGGCTGCTACAGCATCCGGAAAGCTCATAGCGACCTCCTTCAAAGTTTGTAAGTTCCATTCCTTGATGTTGTCATCTCGGACATCACCACCGCCAGACCACGTGACTCTTGCAGAGAAAGTTAGCTTGCCATCTTTTCCACGTAGTCATCTTTGTTCTCACTTGATATTAGTCTTGGCATTCTTCAGTGTTGAATTGTCATCCTTTGCACCCTCGACTTTTCCGGAAACTTCAATGCCGCTGATAACTGCAGACAGTTCAAGTCCGCCACCAATATGCATCTTCTTCAGGGTATCGGCAGTGGTGATGGAAACGATGGCGTCAAACTCACCACCCTCAATAAACCCCGAGACAAAGCAGTCTCCATAAATTTCAGTGAATTGACCCTCTGAAATGTATGGGATTGGGGTGAACTCTGTGATATTATCACCGATCAAACGTTGATTGACAACCTTGACATGAATGAGATAGTTAATATCAGCCGTCTTGATGTCACTTGAGTCAACGAACGACGCCTTGCCAGAGAGCGACCCGAGCCCAGCCATTTTGATACTCAGTGCACCTAGGATCAACAATCAGTACGACTAATAATCGAGCTTCAACAGAACAAGGTTGTGCAATCGTACCGCTCACTTCCAGTTTTTTGAGAACATCTGAGCTGTTTTCGATGAATTCTGCCGTCCAAGTGACGACTTGACTGACTTCCTTTTGTCCATCTACAAAAGTTCTTGTCACACTACCCTTGGCCCCATCAAGGACAGCCTGAGGGTATTGCTGTTGCGAGCTGCCCGCGGTCAGTTGCTTCGGTGCCGTGTTGGCAGCGTCTGCCTTGCCAGTCAACTTTGCGGCGCGCAAGTCATTCTCAGTAGCTGGTACATTTCCAGCCTTCCGAACAACATCATTAACGCAGAGGGACTGGGTGTAGGAATTGAAGCCCATGCCCAAGCGCATGGCGCTGTTGTAGGGTGCTAGCATGAGAGCCATGGTGATGTAGACGAATGCAAAGACTGATCGGAAAATGTGATGGCCAGGGAGATGATAGTCAAAGGACTTCGCACGATCCTGGATATCTATGACATTGGATGAGTCCAAACCCTTAACTCGGCTAGCTATTCGTGACCGAGGATAGCTAGATCAGCGAGCAGAGGCCGCCAAGGGAGACATGATGTTCTAGACCTCGAAGTTACGAGGTAGAGGGTAAGTTCGCTTGGACGAAATATTGGCGCGTATATTCAGGGCTGAGGCGGCAGCATGTTGCATTGTCAGCCCCATGACTAGACCGGTCAGGTCTGTAGCGAACCACAATTTAGGAATAAGCTCAAAGTCGGATCATTCTGTCATCCCTTACGAGCCCGGCGGGGGCACAGCCCTAGTCGCTCCCACCTAACACTACAGTAATGGTGGAAGCGATGGTGTGAAGCATCTGGGGTGGTGTATGTAGCTTGTTATTCGAGATGATAGCTGAGGGACCGGGGTCTGGAGAGAAACGCCCCTCCCCTCCATCTCGCATTATTATGAGATCGATATTCTACCTACTTACCCCGTATTGTCTAATCCAACCTCAACCTCAATGCTTTGCATCGCAAAAGGCAAACATGGACATCGAACTTGTCTTTCCAGCAGATCCATTGGAGACTACAGTCAAGTACGCAGGCGCCCAGCTTGCCCCCTTTTCTGTGCCATGGGCTAAGGGGAGAGTTCAGCTCTGCAGTGGCTTCAATACGCAGCGCTCCGAGAATGATGCTCTCTTTCTATCACGGTCCGCATTTCGGGATGTGCGGAGCGTTCCACTTCACTACCGTCAGTGTCAATTAACCTCGATTCGAGACGAGTCCGCC